ATATACAGTGAAAGCTCGATATAGTGCTTGAGCAGTTGGAGAAGTTTTTAGGACACTATATCGAATGAACACTATAGCGAATGTGTGTGGAATAGTAGTGAAAATAAGTGTATATACTCGTAAAAATGTAATAATCATTTATTTTGATTGTTTAATGTTTTTGAGATAGAAATTTTATATTTGTTTACCAATTTAAATGAAACTTTCTCATTTCAAATCATTGCAAGACAAAAAATAATTGTCTCATATCATAAAACACTATAGAGAGCGTAGAAATAGTCAAAACTAACCAAAAATAGCAAAATTTTGGCCACTATATCGAATAAACACTGTGTAGAGAGTCACTATATCGAGCATAAATAGCATTACAGGTATACAGTGGCCGCCAAACAAAAATATTTTGGACACTATATCGAAAAAACACTATATCGAGCCTTACTCTATCGAGCTTTCACTGTATTTAAGTTATTTTGATATATACAGTACATCTCCAATTAAACTAACTAGGTATGTTATCTAAATTATTTAATAATAACAATAATGTTTTATTAATATCATTACTAAAATTCTTTCCTATGCAAATCAAATGCTATTAATAATTAATTATATTAGTCTAAAATATATAAATTCTTTATAAATATAAGTATTATTATTATAAATATCTGCGTTCATAGAATTAATGCAAAAACTAATTCAAGTTTTTTATATAAATATTTTCTATTTAATAATTACTTATATTTTACAAATTGAACGAACTAAATGAAAATTATAAATTACTTGATAGTCAATCTGCGATTACATTTGTAGCGCATGTTTGACACAAATGTTATCCAAACCGACAAACAAACATCAATTGCAAGAAATGTCTAAAAGGGTTTGTGAAAAAACTTCAAAAAACAAATACCATAATTGCAAACAATAGAGGCTTTAAAATAAATACTGACAAGAATTCAAACAAAATCAATACTATATTTGTTGTCAAAAAAAATTATTTATAATTTTTTGAGTTTTTATTCAGTGAAGTAAATGCCTCATAATTTTGAAAATCATGTATAATATTAAAAATAAATATATGGATAAACAGTACATTAAAACAATCGGTTTAAAAAATATGAATTTAATTAAATTATCATTGAACATAATTAAATTTGCAAATAACTTATAATTTAATAAGAAAATGGAAAATTTATCTGCATTTTGATCACAATTCAACATGATCAAAGTATTATAACTACTATAGTTACTATAGTTTATGGAAGCAAACTGTCTTTTCTACTTCCCCTTATGGCAAATAACTTGGAATTGCAACCTAACGTGAATCTATGGCTATATTTAAATATGTAATTAATGCTATTTGGCAATGTTAATTCTATAAGAATATCTTAAATTGCTATATGTTTCTTGTGTTCCACCCTAACTGTGGTTAACATAGCATTGCTTACAATCCTTGATCTCAGTCTACTGTATAATGAAAGTTAACTTATGCTTTCTCTAAATTCACGGCTCAATGAATTGTTTTGAATAATAGAAAGTTCAAAATATAAGCACAAATTCCTTTTAATAATAACAAATGCAAAATTAAATATTTATATAATTTCAATACTATTTGACAAAAGATAATAATAAATGCAAATATTTCACCAAATATGAACTGAAATAGTCTATTAGATAATCATAAGAAATGCTAACTAGTATTGAAAAATTAATGAAAAAATAGTTTATTCAAAGTTAAAATAGGATGGGATAATGTGCTGATGTTATGCCATAGACCCTCATAGCAAACATTATGCAACATAGGTATGCATTGGGGCTATGTTTATATATTGGGTAAAAACATCTGCTATTTATCCCATTTTCCCACTGAAATAAAAGTTCATTTTTGAGTGAATGTCTACAATAGTTACGGTTGAGAGAGAAACATAACTATTGCCGCAAACATTAGTCAAAATGAGAGTTTTTTCACTTTTAAAACTACTTTCACTAAATGTATGTGGAATTGACCCGCATTTTCATATATATGCTCATCACTTATTTCATACCTATTGTTTAATGGCTTTCAAATACCATAAGTTTAGGTTTAGTTCATTGTTCACAGATTATCGTAGGGTATAATAGGTTTCCCACTATTATATAATATAAGATTGTGTTCAAAATATACTATTGAATTGAATACAATATATTATATAAGTTATAGTATATATAAAAAGGCCATAAATTATGCGAAGGAAAGCATCAGAATTGAAGCAAAACTTAATGTTAATGTTAATGACATTCTTTTGTGAATCTCTTTAATGACAAATAAGCGGAAATGTTTCGCTAGAAATCTCTTTTCCATCACTTAAATGTACTCTAAATGAAATGCAATACAATTGAAACTCTTCAGACACATTGTCTATAAAAGGGTCCGTTTATATCACACCATAATCTCATTACTCTTTCATACACTATAAATGTGCTATTATTGTAATACATATATCATATTAAACGCATATTACATATAAAATAACAGATATTTGAAAAAACATAAATTTACATGAATTAAAACGAGTGAACATTTGGTAAAACTGCGAATTCATAATTAGTAGAAACAATATTGATTTTGTAGATAATTGTGACAAAAATGAATTACAAAAAAATAAATACATAAAAATAGCAGTAAATGTTAAGGTAATCAATGAATGCTATAATCATAAGAACATTTCTAATAAGTTTGACATAAAAGGACTCAATAATCAAACGGATTATTAGGAGTAGACATGCGATAAGAGTTATGGCATTGTCTCTGTCTTCTAATATGAGAAATGTTACCATTATTTCTGCTTAACTCTAATAAATAGTGTTTACTTTATATAACATATACAATACAAAAGAGAGAAAATATTTGTTTTAATGAGTTGAGACTTTTTTGAGGGCCAAACCTAACCCGGTATTCATTGAATTGAATATACAGTGCATTCCATTAAGTGATGTACAATATTGTGGAAATACATGGATTGATGATATATAAGAGCCGCTCATCAATCACTAAATGAACAATAAGACGACCAAATATAGTATACTATACTATACTATACACTGGACTCACTTTTTTCAATAAAAGTCAATAATGTATTGAATCGGATGTATGGAAGAAATGCACCGAAAAAGCTAACGGCTATTCACTTTGCTTTTACAATACAATGAATCATAAATTCAATTAAATAACTGTTTTATAAATATATCTGTTTTCTAAACATATTTCAGGACCAAATATAAATAATACTTCACAATAATTACAATTAACTAATTTTCCATTATTTCGATGATAAGTATTTGGTTTCATGAATATAATCATTATTAATAAGGCCTACAAACAAATGTCTCAACAATGTTTGGGTGGAAACTATTTTTGTAAATTTAATACAAGTAAGCGTTTGTGAGAATATTTAGAATTTACGGAAATTAAAAATAAACGTATGTATTAACATGTGTTCAATTATAGCCATAGATTTAACATGAGTTTTTATATAATTTAATATTGGAATAAATAATACTTCAATCTAATAAATCACAATTTGCCCATGCACGTAAGTTCAAAATTATTCAACTAAATAGTTCAATATTTAATGTTTAAAATAGAATATTACAAATTTCCCGAATCAGTGACACTGTATTCAAAAATATATAAAATTTCAATAAATGATCTCATAATCAAAGGTTTAATGTAAAACATGAAAAATTCTTTAAAAATATTGATTTACTGCAAATACCATATCATATATTATTTGTTGTCTAAAACACGATTGTTATATAAATAGTAATGCGAGAAATGTGAACCAAAATTTAAAACAACTGTTTTGCGCCAATATTTGCAATTTAGAAGTAATTGTCGGTTATTTTGAAATTAATAATAACGTAATTAGGAAATGAAATCAATTTAATTTTTCAATAATACATTTCAACTATACTTCTTAACTAATCATTTGTGTCTGTCTTTTGTCAATTTGCTTATTAATAAAAGATTTACAAAGAATTAATTAATTCGGTATAAATATTATTGAAAATTATGCGTTAATAGAATTAAAGCAATAATTAATACAAATTTATTTGTGAATATTCTTTATTTAAGTTATTTTTTAACAAAATTTTTACAATTAATTATTTTATACAAAATGAATGAATTACAATAAATGAAAAATCAAAAACTAATTGATAGTCAATTTGCTATCAGATTTGTATCGCATGTTTGACCGTTAAAATGGATGGCAAACAATTGATTGCATATACAATTGGGTTTAACTGTTTGTATATTCAGTTTTGATGTTTTGGCACAAATCAACCAAACTGTTAGTCTATTATAGAAATCGATTTTTATGTCCATTACTATAGGAGACTAGTAGTCAATCGATTATAAGACTAGTTATTTGTTAATTATATTTAATTAGTTATGAGTTGGTGTCGAATGTCTTTTCAAAACAATTTCAATATTTTGATTAAAATTATTGATTTTACTGTAATATAAGTTAATAAAAATCTTCATTAAATACAATCCTCAACAATAAGCCTTATATTTGACATTCTGTGATGAACTCATAAATTGTGGTATCGTTTGATTTTGTGTACTATCAGTGTTTGCATCAATATCTGAGTTCATATTATGTCTTATATTCATTGCATTACTTCCGCCCACAAAAACGGTTGTAATATTATTAGAGGCATCGATGGGGTCCTGGACTAAGTCCGGTAAATCAGAGTTGCCTTCACTAGACGTGGGATATATATTCCAAGCCGTCATATTAGAGGCGTTTGAAGGCATAGTCATGTGTTGTCCACTGCTTTCAAAGTTTTTAATTCGACAATTGTTTCGAAAACTTCTCATTTCATCCCTTGATTTGTCATAAATATTAAGATTTGAGTTGTGATGGACTTGAGATGAGCCGAACTCTTGTGATATAAACGGTTGGTTAATGTTTGGACTGTTGTTAATGGATTGGTTGGCTATAAGGAGGGGTCGCTCGTCATAGAGGGGCCCACAACTGGACGATGAATTCTGGCTCCAGTCGTCATCGGCGGTGGGGTTGACAGTGATGTTTGCGCCCGAATAGAAGTCATTCACTCTCGACATTACAGCCGGTTGTCGACGACTAAAACGGTTTTGTTGGCCATAAACGCCAGAACCCAACGAATCGCTGTCTATAGACTCATAGATATGTTCGATGTATTGGTTGTAGAGATTTGAGTGCATTTGTGAGGGAATATTGCTATGCATTCCGTATCTGAAAGTGTCGTCCAAATGGTTGTTATGATTGACGCGAATCTTTCGTTTGGGCTTTGGTTGTCGGCTGAGACTGTTGTGACGGATTTGTTGCAGTTTTGTCTCATAATCGGCAAAATTATGGCTCACGAGAGCGGCTGCGTTGATGTCACTGACGGACATATTAATGTTGGGAATGGAGTTGATTGGGTTGACCAGAATAGGTCCTGTAGTGCCGCTCCTGGATGTGTACAATGTGTTAGTTTGGCGTTGAGCTGAAATATATGGGCGATCGAGTGGTGTGGAAGAATTGTCGTCTATTTGCGAACTCATAAGTTGAGGGCAGGGCTGGACATGGAAGCAGATAATTGAAGAATATTTTAATTAATTTTGACAACAAAAGGGCAATAATAATAGATTAACTAAAATAATTAGAAAACATGAAAAACAGTTTTCACTAGTTTTGCAAATCATAGTTTCACTAATTTATTTTTGATAACATAATATGTTTGATGGCATGCATTATAACATTTGGTAGACGTGCGGTTGGGATGCAATACCTGTGCTATTAATAGGGCAAAAACGTATAGGGATTTGATGCAGGGATGCAGTGGATGGACATGAATTTGGAGATACAATATTCACCTGTTGTTCAACTTGTAGTACTGGAAGTGATTGCAGTGATTGTTGCAACTGCTGGTGCTGTGCAATACCGGCCACTTGTGTGGCCGTCACTTGTGTCACAACTGGTCGGTTAGTATACGAGTCGCTAACCGTCGCCGTAGTCTTAGTTGTGGAACAGTTAATGTCTTCGAAACAAAAGGCCAAAAAAGGCAAACCCCTGACGAGTCGGTGGTGTTGAATGTTATCAGTTTTGATTATACAAAATAATGAGACAAAAACGCCTAAACTTATGTTTAGTATTGTAAAGAAAAGTGCGATAGTGTTTGATGTCTGAACATTGGTGTGGATGAGACCAAAAGTCCAGGTAAGGCCTTGTAGTATAAGCAACACCACTACCCATTTGATGCCATTCCTGGTCACATCTAACTTAGTCTCTTCAATGCATTTGATTGTTGTACTGGTGTTTGAATTGTTGAGTACAACAAAACACGAAATTAACACAAATACAAGTCCGCCGAACACAATACCAATGGCTGGGCCCACAAAACTCAAGTAAAAGTAATTATCAGTTCTTAGCCAACAATGGGTTTGTGTGCCATAACTCGACGGATCGATAAGTAAGGCAATGAGTATAATAAGCGCGGGTCCGCCGTATGCTATCATATAATACCAAATCAATCTTTTGGCGGATTTGACGCTTTCATACATATCTATTAGGTTTAAGTAGAGATCGATTGACTCTAAAAATGTCCACAAAAGTGTCGATAATAGGAAGAAATGTAGAGAACCGGCAGTTAAGCCGCACAACAATGGGATATCAGTTCTGTAGATCCCAATTAAATAAGTCATTTCAACGATTAAAAGAGTGACACAAAGATTACGATGGATTGAAACGGCTTCGGTATTGCCGGCGCTCACAACACACACTATTGTCGATACGAATACCAGACTTAACATTGCAATCGCACAGCCGATTATGACAACCAATTTCTGCCAATTATTTTCCGGTACTAACAGATCGATGGGACGGATGTCCATCAGGAGTGCGAAATGTGTCAAATGATTGCACATACAGACGGTGTGCGTGGCGTTTGTCGACTCCATCCAACAGCCCTCTGACAACCAATCCCTGCGCTCCACATCCCAGTAGACACACTTCGGATTCGATACGTTCTCCTCCTGTATATGTCTTAAGATGATTGCAATCGGTTGCGATAATTGGATATTCTTCTGATCACCGGCGCGACCATTACTGAGCGCCGCTCCGATTACTCGAGAGTTAATTGCCAGAGAAGTGGACGTAATGTTTTGCAATCTATTGAACATTGAATACGAGAGAGACTTCTCATCTTTTTTGTCATTAATAGAGTAGACGTCGGGCTTCAGAAGGTCTTCGATGCGATAATAGGCCAAAAAGGCTACTTTTGCCAAACCTTATCGGATAAATGCAATCAAATACAACATTACGTCAAATTACAATCCAAATAACAATCTATGCTTTCAATTATTACCATCTTTTGAGTATTCAAGCAATGCCTGCGCCGGCAGGAAGAGTGAGTCCTCCATACGAATCCATTCAATAGTGCCGCGGGTGTCCTCAACTGTTGGGAATTGCAGACTAATAGGCATTCGTGTGTCCAACACATGAACCGACACCACTGTAACACAAAAGACATAGATTAATGACCACAACATTACATGAATTGAGGCGCTGGGAGGTCAGCCCTATCATCAACTATGAATGCATTTGACACTTACAAACATTAGGTTTGGCGACAGCGAACGAGCCATCCTGATTGGTGTTGTCCGCCAACAACAGTGCACTCAATTCCAGACCTTTCAACAGTTTAGAGGCCACATGTCTTCGGTCGGCAACAGTCAGGTCAAGCCAGGCGTCGTCCTGAGCGTTGTCTAACAGATTACTGACCGCTTCCACGATAAACATAAGCAACTCTTTGAGCACTTGATGCCTGTGCCACACTTCAAATGATTGCAAGTTTTGCATACTTGTCATGGCGTGTGATAATGTCTTTTGCACTATAAAAGCAATTCTTTGCAAATCCTCGCAAAACAGTGCTTTCGTGAGAGTCATTAGCGCTAATTCATTGGCGATTCTTATCACCGGTTCGTCATTATTAAGTCTGTCCTCCAAATTGTCTAACCATAGGGACCGACATTGACTGAAGTCAGGCCTATCGGGCACCCAATCGGTAGTTTTGGTGATTGGATTATAACTGCACTCCCATTTGACGAGACCGGTGGCACCGCCGGGACATTTCTGGTCAGCGATCTCTCCCTTTCGCGTCCAATTCCAGAACAGACTCCTCACAAATATCGGCGGACAGTAATCCGTCTTCATATCTGCCATCGGATATGCCTTCTGTATAGAGGAGAAGGGCGGGAGCGGTCGTGGAGGCGGTTGTGGCGGAAAGGGCGGCGAAGATATGTCCACTTTGATGGGCGTATTTAGCCGTGTATTGGGCGGTAGAGTGGGATTAAGATCCGTGGGTTCGGGCGGATTAATGGAGATCTGAGGCAAATCGGATTCACCCGCACTAATCATCTCAATATGATTGAGACGACTGTCAACAGTACTCGTAGAGGGAGTCGTCAAATGAATGCCCGAATATAAATTTGATTCAGTTTTTGGGATACTTTCAGACTCTGTGTTCATAATTGAAATGAGATCGTCATCAGAGGATGCAGTGGTGGCCAACACCGGAGGCAACACAAGCGATGCATTGCTGGATGAGGGGAACGGCATATTCACGA